TTTAATGGCCTCCCATCTTGTTATGACTCCAATACTAGGGTCCATAGAACCTACATTGACTTCGTTTCCTCCACAAACTTTAGCGTCGCAATTCAGTTCATGTTTCTTATTTGCTGTTCGAGTAAAGGTGCAGATATCTTCGTAGGAAGTTTCGTCACATTTTCTTTCTTCCAGTGGTTGGTCTGGTCTTCCGAAGTAACTGTTTGCATCTTCACAAAATTCTTTACTGGGGCTGTGAAAAGAGGGGGAAAGAGCCAAAGTTAGTTCATGTTCTAAGTTTACGATAATTTTAAGAAAATGAAGATACWGGAAAAGTGCAGGGCCAAAACTAGCACTACTACAGCCAAACTACAGCCAAAAATATAAGGGAAGGGGCTTTACCGAATTTTGCGAATGACACTACAGAACAAATGAAAAAACAATGAATATTTAAAAAATATTACAAAAAATGCTGTGACGTCAAATCGTATGTCCTTTTGTAAAATACGTACCGATGTGGAACACAGGCCAAGGGTAATTTACTGGTAACAGGGTTTTTAGCTGTCTTTCGTAGCGCTAAGTATGGGCAGGGTACGAGATTTGGATACGATCCATCACGATTATTTTGTAGGAACTCGTCCGTTAAAAGAGTGATGTCTTGGGATCGTATGCCATTTTCACTGTTGTCTTTCTTATCATGACGTCCTCCTTCTGTGRATGTGTTTTCATTCGATTTTTAGTTAACAGTTAGTATAGGTYTAATCAATACTTTTATAAGAAGAGGAGGAGGAGTGCAAACCATATAATATTCGTGAAATAGCACAAAAACTCTATAGCACTAAACACATATATTTATTTTGTTTTCAGTTGTTTCACTGTTGCTATTTGGACAAAATTTCTACTATTTTATACCACCAGCAGCAGCATCAGTATAGTAATAGTAATAGTAATAGTAGAAGAAAAAGTAAAAGAGAAAAATTAAATTTCCAACTATTTCTTTTTTTATTGTGATTTATTGACCAAGTAAAATGTGTTTCAAACATACCATGTCTTTATTGCAATACTCACCTAATGTTCTTTTTTCTACGGGCTGCACCGTTGTGGTTGGTGCTATGTTTTCATGTGTCTGTATTGTTGTGGTTGGTGGTATGTTTTCATGTGTCTGTAATGTTGTGGTTGGTGGCATGTTTTCATGTGTCTGTATTGTTGTGGTTGGGGATATTAATTCTTTGCTTTGTACTGTGGTGGTTGGTAAGAAATGACTTGTAGTCCGTGTGTATGATAAAACACCATTTACTTTCTCTTCGTTTCGTAATGATTTCTTTCCAYTGCTCTGCACTGCAGTAAAATGCAAAAAAGAAATCTTTGAAACGTTTCTAGCCAAAACATTGATTTATCGAATCGAAATATCGGTATCTTGTTGTATTGTATCATATATAGAGGATATTACATGGGCGCACGGAGATACGAATTTTATCTTCGAGTGTTCAATTGATATTTCACGAGTGAGCGCAGCGAACGAGTGAGATGTCTAAATTGAACACCAGAAGATAAAATTCGTATCTCCAAGCGGCCATGTAATGTTCTGTTTATTATATAGATATCGATGAAACTTAAATAAAACAAAAGCTCAAAAATTCTTTATTAAAATACGTTACCATGTCAACAGCGATATCTTCACGTGTGAAAGATATGGTATCTTCTACTGGTGAAAGATGTCAAGTTTTTGACACTAGAGAAAACCTGGTATTTTATCGATATCTGTATAATAAACTATGATATTGTTCGTATCGTATCGCCCCGCATCGTGTCTTGTCTTGTCGTGGATAGTGTGGCATTGCGTCRTTTTGTATCATCGTATTGTATCCGCGTGTATAATGTCGTCTATATCAACTGCCCTCGCTTATCGTGTAGTGGTGTTGTGTCGTCTTTTCGTGATTGATAAGCGGAGCCAGTCATGTGATTAAGTGTTTCTTTCTCTAATACAACTGACTCACCATTGTTTTTAAGTCGTTTCCAATTCAATTTATCCATCATGTCGGTTGAAAGCATAAAATAGAYTCCAATAGATAACATCCCAGACAAGACAATTACCAAAAACACTCGCTGAGAAGCAACAACGAAAGTAAAAATTCCATAAAAATTTATCCAAGACATCATACTTAGTTTCGAGTTTTGCAGGAGTTTAGTCGTGTACAAAACAATCCGCATTTATAGGGAGGGCGGAATATTTTTAGACCACGTTACAACCGCGTGACATCTTTGTTTCCGGGTAGCGCATGAAATTAAATAAGTTAAGATACATTGGGTTTCAAAACAAGATTTGTAAAAAGGTAAAGGTAAAGTGTACCTATATTTAACGTCGGTAGTTCCTTCAGATGAAATTCAACTGCTATCAATGGAAGCCGACGGTGAGCACTTTACTYCCCTCTCTCCATCAGTGCTCTGTTTTAAGAGTATTCAAAGCTGAAGCTACACGGATTAGAGAGAAGTCGAAACAGACGTGGTGACGTAGAGATCCTWAGAATGTAGGGGTTTGCAATTTTCATTTACGGGTTTCAATTGCGGTTTACCCCCCGAATCCTCGCTATATCCCCCCTGGGGTTAGCCCATAACTATATTTTTCGTCCAGAACAGAACATAACATACCAGTTTATTKGCCATGCTTCAAGACTTCGTTTGGAGGGAAAAGTTGTCTGAAAGAGATACATATACCCACGTGAAAACGCGGTTTAAATTCCATTTTTTCCGTAATGTATGGATTTTTTTTAGCTCCAAAAATGTTGTCTCCGATCCCCCAAAAATGAAAACATTGTCACAATCATAATATTGCGGCGTTTTCGTAAAATCCGCGCGCATGTCCCTGTACTGTGTTAAAAACAAGTTGGAAGCTGTTGAGCACGAGACACTGAACAAACTTAGGACCACAATCTACGCGAATTCACATACAAATATTCAACCTTTTGGCAGCAGATACGTATGATATATTATTTAAGCTGAGCATTTTAGTCTCTACGTTTTCTTAGAGGRTTAGAAACGGCTACCGACAGTTGCTTTTGCTCCAAGAAATTTGAAAAGTTTATATGAACAAGAAAAATTTCAATCAACGATTGCAACACCACAAAATAAACAAGAAGTGYAAYAAYAYATTYATWATTTTTACAGCCGGTCTGAGAGCCGGTTAAATAGTATTTCTTTTTTAATGACAAATATTTTGGTCCGTTCAAACTTTAAATTCTGCAGTTAAAACGTTTTCTAAAAGTTTGAAACGTTGTTATGTAAACTTTTAAAGTAATGACTGATGTACAAAGACTAGTCCATGAGTTTAGTATCCTCCTAAGGATTTAAAAWAAAGGAAACATGCTATGATTAGTAAAATTAAAAAGTGTTCAATTGGTTTATGACACARCCAGAGCAGTCATTAAAGGCCGGTTTAGACAGTACGATTTTCGCCTACAACTATCGTATACAACACGCTCGCGGCATCCTACAACTTAACTCGAGTCGTAGCGTGCAAATCAAGCCTACAACTCGCCTACGACAGACGCGAGCGTGTTGTATACGATAGTTGTAGGCGAAAATCGTACTGTCTAAACCGACCTTAAGAGAGCCTTCTTTTGAAAGAACGTCCAGCCATGTTTGGTTCAAATGATAAGCTCTGGTGGGAAAGGGAGCTGTCAATGGCGGCCAAACATAAGGCTTTCCCATCTTTTTATCGGAAAGATTGTGGTCTAAATGTGCCAAAATTTAACAACAAAATATAAAAAGAACTAGTTAAATTTCAATTGTAAACCATTGTGTAAATAGAAAGCCAACTTTGACTTGGCAATGTATTACCGGATTACTATACAGTCGATTCCAAAAACGTTGTCCAAGTGAAAAGAGGTTTATAGGACAATAAATGTCACGTGTCTCATTAAATATTCAGTTTTACGCGCGTG